AAAAAAAAAAAAAAAAAAAAAAAAAAAAAAAAAAAAAAAAAAAAAAAAAAAAAAAAAAAAAAAAAAAAAAAACAAAAAAAAAAAAAAAAAAAAAAAAAAAAAAAAAAAAAAAAAAAAAAAAAAAAAAAAAAAAAAAAAAAAAAAAAAAAAAAAAAAAAAAAAAAAAAAAATAAAAAAAAAAAAAAAAAAAAAAAAAAAAAAAAAAAAAACAAAAAAAAAAAAGAGGTCCCGGAGCCCATCCGAGCCCGTTGCAAGGTTGGATTCAACCTTGGCCGGTTGATTTGAGCGCTTGCCTCATTCCAGCCGGTCAAAGGACCCTCTGGGTTGATAGGAACCTCGTAGAAAGCCCCCCCGCCCTGGTCTACGTTCCCCACCGGTCACCCTAGAGCCCTCGAACCACAACCGGCCGTGAAGGAAGGTGCGACCCATAGAGTAAAGGGCTCTAGGGAGGGTGTGGGCCCGTGCAAGGACCCACACCCACCCTTGGGCCCACGAAGAACCCCGGTCGAGAATGGAAGTGTGACCCAAAAAAATAGAGGGCTCTAGGGAGGGTGTGGCCCCGTCCAATGAACCACACCCACCCTAGAGCCCACAATGAGCCGGACCCCTCTCATCCCATCCAGGGCGGTTCGGACCGGACCCATCCCACCCGCGGTGTTTCGAACCGGACCAATCCCCACACGGGAGGTGCGGTCCGGATCCATCCCATCTAGGGTGGTGTGATCCGGATCCATCCCATCCCGGGTGGGGTTATTTGGATCCATCCAGTCCAGGGTGGTGAGATCCGGATCCATCCCATCCCGGGTGGGGTGATCCGGATCCATCCCATCCCGATTGGGGTGATCCGGATCCATCCCAACCGGGGTGGTGTGACCCGGATCCATCACGCCTAGGGTGGTGGGATCCGGATCCATCGACCCGGTCGATCCGGTTCCCCGCCCGGTTCCAACCCGGATGATCCGGCCGGTCCGGTCCATCCGGTTCCACGTCCGGTTGACCCGGTTCCCCACCCGGTCGATCCGGCCGGTCCGGTAGATCAGGTTCCCCGTCCGGTCCGGTCCATCCGGTTCCAAGTCCGGTTGACCCGGATCCCCACCCGGTCGAACCGGCCGGTCCGGTAGATCCGGTTCCCCATCCGGTTCCCTACCCGGTTCCGACCCGGTTGATCCGGCTCCCTACCGGGTCGAACCGGTCCCCTCACCCGGCTGGGGCGGTTGATCCGGTTCCCCGCCCGGTTGACCCGGTTCCTCACCCGGTTGATCCGGTCGATACGGCCGGTCCTCTAGATCCGGTTCCCCATCCGGTTCCCTGCCCAGTTCCCACCCGGTTGGCCCGGTTGGTCCGACTCCCCACACGATCGGTTCGGCACCCCATGCGGATGAGCCGGATGACCCGGTTCCCCATCCGGATGGTCCGGTCGATCCGGTTCCCGACCCGGTACCCGACCCGGTTCCCCACCCGGATGGTCCCGCTTCCTACCCCAGACCCGGTCGATCCGGTTCCCTTCCCGGATGGCCCAGATGATCCGTTCCCCCGGCCGGATGGTCCGGTCGATCTGGTTCCCGACCCGGTACCCCACCCGGTTGGCCCGGTTGGTCCGACTCCCCACACGGTCGGTTCGGCGCCCCGTGCGGATGAGCCGGGATGATCCGGTTCCCCATCCGGATGGTCCGGTCGATCCGGTTCCCGACCCGGTACCCCACCCGGTTCCCCACCCGGATGGTCCGGCTTCCTACCCTAGACCCGATCGGTCCGGTTCCCTTCCCGGATGACCCGGATGATCCGGTTCCCCGGTCGGATGGTCCGGTTGAACCGGTTCCCGACCCGGTACCCCACCCGGTTGGCCCGGTTGGTCCGACTCCCCACACGGTCGGTTCGGCGCCCCGTGCGGATGAGCCGGATGATCCGGTTCCCCATCCGGATGGTCCGATCGATCCGGTTCCTGACCCGGTACCCCACCCGGTTGGCCCGGTTGGTCCGACTCCCCACACGGTCGGTTCGGCACCCCGGTTCCCCATCCGGATGGTCCGGTCGATCCCGCCAGGACCCGACCCGGTTCCCCACCCGGATGGTCCGGCTTCCTACCCTAGACCCGGTCGGTCCGGTTCCCTTCCCGGATGACCCGGATGATCCGGTTCCCCGGTCGGATGGTCCGGTTGATCCGGTTCCCGACCCGGTACCCCACCCGGTTGGCCCGGTTGGTCCGACTCCCCACACGGTCGGTTCGGCGCCCCATGCGGATGACCTGGATGATCCGGTTCCCCATCCGGATGGTCCGGTCGATCCGGTTCCTGACCCGGTACCCCACCCGGTTGGCCCGGTTGGTCCGACTCCCCACACGGTCGGTTCGGCACCCCGGTTCCCCATCCGGATGGTCCGGTCGATCCGCCGGGACCCGACCCGGTTCCCCACCCGGATGGTCCGGCTTCCTACCCTAGACCCGGTCGGTCCGGTTCCCTTCCCGGATGACCCGGATGATCCGGTTCCCCATCCGGATGGTCCGGTCGATCCGGTTCCCGACCCGGTACCCGACCCGGTTCCCCACCCGGATGTTCCGGCTTCTTACCCTAGACCCGGTCGGTCCGGTTCCCGACCCGGTACCCGACCCGGTACCCCACCCGGTTGGCCCGGTTGGTCCGACTCCCCACACGGTCGGTTCGGCGCCCCGTGCGGATGACCTGGATGATCCGGTTCCCCGGTCGGATGGTCCGGTTGATCCGGTTCCCGACCCGGTACCCCACCTGGTTGGCCCGTTTGGTCCGACTCCCCACACGGTCGGTTCGGCACCCCGGTTCCCCATCCGGATGGTCCGGTCGATCCGCCGGTACCCGACCCGGTTCCCCACCCGGATGGTCCCGCTTCCTACCCTAGACCCGGTCGATCCGGTTCCCGACCCGGTACCCGACCCGGTTCCCCACGCGGATGGTCCGGCTTCCTACCCTAGATCCGGTCGATCCGGTACCCGACCCGGTACCCGACCCGGTTCCCCACCCGGATGGTCCGGCTTCCTACCCTAGACCCGGTCGATCCGGTACCCGACCCGGTACCGGACCCGGTTCCCCACCCGGATGGTCCGGCTTCCTACCCTAGACCCGGTCGATCCGGTTCCCGACCCGGTACCAGACCCGGTTCCCCACCCGGATGGTCCGGTTCCCTAGCCTAGATCCGGTTCCCTTCCCGGATGACCCGGATGATCCGGTTCCCCGTCCGGATGGTCCGGTTGATCCGGTTCCCGACCCGGTACCCCACCCGGTTGGCCCGGTTGGTCCGACTCCCCACACGGACGGTTCGGCACCCCATGCGGATGATCCGGATGATCCGGTTCCCCATCCGGTTGGTCCGGTCGATCCGGTTCCCGACCCAGTACTCGACCCGGTTCCCCACCCGGATGGTCCCGCTTCCTACCCTAGACCCGGTACCCGACCCGGTTCCCCACCCGGATGGTCCGGCTTCCTACCCTAGATCCGGTCGATCCGGTAAACCCGACCCGGTACCGGACCCGGTTCCCCACCCGGATGGTCCGGCTTCCTACCCTAGATCCGGTCGATCCGGTTCCCGACCCGGTACCGGACCCGGTTCCCCACCCGGATGGTCCGGCTTCCTACCCTAGACCCGGTCGATCCGGTTCCCGACCCGGTATCGGACCCGGTTCCCCACCCGGATGGTCCGGTTCCCTAACCTAGACCCGGTCGATCCGGTTCCCTTCCGGGATGACCCGGATGATCCGGTTCCCCGTCCGGATGGTCCGGTCGATCCGGTTCCCGACCCGGTAGGGAAGGTAGGGGTCCGTGCAAGGACCCACACCCACCCTAGAGCCCGCAAAGAACCCCGGTCGAGAACGAAGGATGTGACCCAAAGAGCAAAGGGCTCTAGGGAGGGTGTGGGCCCGTCCAAGGACCCACACCCACCCTAGAGCCCACAAAGAACCCCGGTCGAAATCGAAGGTGTGACCCAAAGGAGAAAGGGCTCTAGGGAGGGTGTGGTCCCGTGCAAGGACCCACACCCACCCTAGAGCCCGCAAAGAACCCCGGTCGAAGCCGGAGGCGTGGCCCAAATGAAAAAAGGGCTCTAGGGAAGGTAGGGGTCCGTGCAAGGACCCACACCCACCCTAGAGCCCGCAAAGAACCCCGGTCGAGAACGAAGGTGTGACCCAAAGAATAAAGGGCTCTAGGGAGGGTGCGGGCCCGTCCAAGGACCCACACCCACCCGGGAGCCGGCAAAGAACCGGACCCGTCTCATCCACGGTGGCCCGGTCCGGATCCATCCCTTCCAGGGTGGTTCGGACCGGACCCATCCCACCCGCGGTGTTTCGAACCGGATCAATCCCCACCAGGGAGGTGCGATCCGTATCCATCCCATCCAGGGTGGTGTGATCGGGATCCATCCCAACCCCCGGCGGGGTTATCCGGATCCATCCCGTCCAGGGTGGTGAGATCCGGATCCATCCCATCCCGGGTGGGGTGATCCGGATCCATCCCATCCCGAGAGGGGTGATCGGGATCCATCCCAACCGGGGGGGTGCGACCCGGATCCATCCCGCCTAGGGTGGTGGGATCCGGATCCACCGACCCGGCTCAACCGGTTGATCCGGTTCCCCGCCCGGTTCCAACCCGGATGATCCGGCTGGTCCGGTCCATCCGGTTCCCCGTCCGGTTGACCCGGTTCCCCACCCGGTTGATCCGGTCGATCCGGTCGGTCCGGTGAATCCGGTTTCCCAACCGGTTCCGACCCGGTCGATCCAGCTCCCTACCGGGTCGACCCGGATCCCTCACCCGGCTGGGGCGGCTGATCCGGTTACCCACCCGTTTCCGGCCCGGTTGATCCGACCGAACCGGCCCATTCGGCTCTCCACCCGGTTCCGATCCGGTTCCCCACCCGTTTTTGGTCCGGCTTGTCCGTCCGATTGGGTCCATCCGGCTCCCATCCGGTTGATACGGTTCAACACCCGGTTCCGGATCCGGGTTCCGACCCGACCGACCCGGATGGTCCGGTTCCCCACCCTAGACCCGGTCGATCCGGTTCCCTTCCCGGATGATCCGGTTCCCCGTCCGGATGGTCCGGTTGATCCGGTTCCCGACCCGGTACCCCACCCGGTTCCCCACCCGGATGGTCCGGTTGGTCCGACTCCCCGCACGGTCGATTTGGCACCCCACCCGGACCACCCGGATGATCCGGTTCCCCGTCCGGATGGTCCGGTTGATCCGGTTCCCCGACCCGGTACCCCACCCGGTTCCCCACCCGGATGGTCCGGTTCCCCACCCTAGACCCGGTTGATCCGGTTCCCGACCCGGATGATCCGGTTCCCCGTCCGGATCACTACCCGTTTGGTCCGGTTTCCCACCCGGTACCGCACCCGGTTGGTCCGGTTGGTCCGCTTCCCCACCCGGACCACCCGGATGATCCGGTTCCCCGTCCGGATGGTTGACCCGGCTCCCGACCCGGAACCGCACCGGGTTCCCCACCCGGTTGGTCCGATTTCCCATCCGGTCGATTCGGCTCCCCACCCGCACGGTCCGATTGGTCCGGTTCCCCAACCGGATGGTCGGGTTGATCCGGTTCCCGACCCGGTTCCCCACCCGGATGGTCCGGTTGGTCCGGTTCCCCACCCGGATGACCCGGTCGATCCGGATCCCCACCCGGATGACCCGGATGGTCCGGTTCCCCGCCCGGTACCCTACCCGGCTGGTCCGTTTCCCCACCCGGTTCCCCATCGGGCTTGCCCGGCTGATCCGGTTCCCCACCCGGATCACCCGGTCGATCCAATTCCCCATGCGGATGACCCGGATGATCCGGCTTCCCGTCCGGTTCCCTGTCCGGTTGGTCCGGTTCCCCACCCGGTACCCCGTCCGGATGGTCCGGTTGATCCGGTTCTCCACCCGGATGACCCGGATGATCCGGTTCCCCATCCGGATGACCCGGATGATCCGGTTCCCAGTCCGGTTCCTGACCCGGTACCCCACCCGGATGGTCCGGTCGGTCCGGTTGGTCCGGTTCCCCACCCGGTCGATCCGGTTCCCCACCCGGATGACCCGGTCGATCCGGTTCCCCACCCGGATGACCCGGTTGATCCGGCTCCCCACCCGGATGGTCCGGTCGGTCCGGTTCCCGACCCGGCACCCCACCCGGATGGTCCGGTTGGGTCCGGTCCCCCACGGGGATGGTACGGTTGAGTCCGGTTCCCCACCCGGATGGTCCGGTCGATCCGGTTCCCGACCCGGATGACCCGGATGATCCGGTTCCCCATCCGGATGGTCCGGTCGATCCGGTTCCCGACCCGGATGACCCGGATGATCCGGTTCCCCATCCGGATGGTCCGGTCGACCCGGTTCCCCACCCGGATGATCCGGTTGGTCCGGTTCCCGACCCGGATGACCCGGTTTCCCATCCGGATGGTCCGGTCGATCCGGTTCCCCACCCGGATGACCCGGACGATCCGGTTCCCCACCCGGATGACCCGGACGATCCGGTTCTCCACCCGGATGACCCGGATGATCCGATTTGGCCTCGCATTTCGGCTCCGCGACCCCTAGAATCCCTAGAATTTTGCCGAAAAAAACGCATGGGTTCCCCTGCCTTATGTCCTTATGTCCTTAGTTCCGTCTTCGTCGAGTCAGTCGTCGTCCGTCTAGACCGTTTTGATGGATTTATAAAGAAGGTGTCCCCTTCTATATACATCCATCGGGGGGCCCGGGGCACGCCCATCGGAAGGGAGAATCTCCTTCGATCCTTAGCCCGTCCAGTGTGCGAGCCCCGCGGCCCACCAGAAGAAGAGAGAGGGAGCGACCCTCACCCTTCCAACAGGCCGACCAACAACAATCCAGCCAAACGCACCAACCAACCCCGAGAGGGCTCTGCCTACCCTCGATTTCCCATCCCCTCTCACCCTCTCTCTCACGTATCCCTCCTTCCAT